TTGATGCACAAATAAGTCATATCCAATTGGGAAAGGACACATTTGAATTGGAATATTTTAATACAGAAAAGAATAGATGTTCTCTGTACATTTTCAGGCCTGGAAGGGACAGTTAAAATGGGGGTTAGTTATAGGGAATTAATAGCTCCAAGAGTTTTGTATCAATATTTAATTGTAAAGAGAATTAAATGTTCTGTTTTTAACTCTTGTATGCTTGGTCTTATTTCTGTATCAAATTCTGAACACGTCAGTCATATTTTTTTGACAATAATAGCTTAAACAACACAACCAGAGTTCCACATGATTTTATACCAAGACAAAACATGGCAGTTCTTTGGTCTGAAGGTAAGTTTGAAGATGTATTCAGGACAATGTGCTGTTGCATTAAAAAGATGGCTGCACCATATTAAGCATCATGCTACTATACTTTCCACCTGTAGTCCTTGACAATACAATCATATAACTTGCATAATAATACACAGTCAAATCAAAAGTGCAAGTTACTAAAAAAACATTAAAATTAAAAAAAAGGAAAGTTACTAAAATACAGATAAACATACAGTTCAATAAAAGTGCAAGTTGACCAATGTACATATTAACATACAATTCAATAAGGTGCAATACAGAGTTGCAGTTAGCAGCAATATGTAAAGTATGACACAATTTCAGACCAAAATATAAAGTAGAAAAGTGCTGAATTCTGTTGCCTCTGTTATAATGACCCGCTCAGTTTTAACATAATTGAAAAAAATCCAATAATACCAAGAAAGTCTCCACTTTTTCCCAAGTGCAAGAGAGTTAGAAGCGAAGTCCTCCGTGTCGGTTCAGGGCCGCTCTCATAGATTTTTCTCACTCAACCTCCTTCATGCTTCTTACAAAACCACTGAGAGTCTGAGTCATAGACCAGGGCTATTCAACTCGACCATCAATGGGCCGTGTGGCTGCAGGTTTTCATTCCAACCAAACAGGAGCACACCTGACTCTTCACCAGGAAACTTATAAGAGATTTAGAGAAAAAGAGAAAGAAATACATGCGAAAGATGCACATTGTCAATCAGTTCAACAGTGCAACTTTAATTTTATATGTAATAATTAAACACACAGTGATAATGTAATATTTTGATTCTTGCAATGATTTATTTGGTCAATCAATCAATCAGGATTTTTTATCAGAAACAAAGACAATACAAAACAATAACATAAAATCTATACTAGACCACGACTGTACCCCCCTGAAGGACACTCTGTCTACTGGAGAGCAGCTTCAGTGACAGATTTATCCACCCGCGCTGTGTGAAGGAGACGTTCCACAGGTCCTTCCTTCCTGCTGAATCATCTGTTCTGATTATTCACTGGTCACTTTACTAGTCACTAATCACTTTACCTGCTATTATGATTACATTATTACATATATATTAACAACTGGTAGCATTGTAAAAATTATGAACTGTTGTGTCTTTGCTAAATGTATTTTAAGTGTGTTTTATGAATGATTTTTAATTGTGCCGTGTTGAAAGACAAATCTGTGCTCAATTTGAACGGACAATAATGATCTATTCTATTCTATTCTGATAATTCACTAACCACCTTACCTGCTGCTATTATTACTATTGTTTATTCTGGTTCTATTCTCTGCTGCTCAAGTACAATACCATCTGTAAATGTGAAACCTCAAGACTGCTGCTGACCATAGTGTATACTCCACTAGGACTTATCTTCGACCCAAGTGCAATTATCCCTCCAGAGTTTGTTATCTTAATCTTGTATTATTTTGTCACCCATAGATCTTGTTTCATGTGTGCTTAACCTTCTTCCATTCTGATGTAATGTGTACAAATTAGGGCTGTCAAAATTATCGCGTTAACGCACGTTAATTAATTTTTTTCATTAATCGCGTTAAAAAAATTAACGCATTTGACGCATGCCCATGCGTCCCATAATAACACTCAGAATGCCGCGGACACATGCGTGTGTAAGATGGGGACAGAGCAGGTAGGCCCTCTGGGAATTCAAGTTTTGAAAGAATTCAAGTTTGTACTACATTGAACTTGTAGTTTCCTGTATGAACTCTGCATGATGAGCTGCGGGCGCCACAGCGCTCTGGACAGCAGTTCCCACTTCCAGCGGCTGTGATCACGGGGAACGGCGCTGCGTAATGGGATCATATCCAAGACCACGCACAGAACTATTACAGAACTATTCTCTAGTGTGCGTACGTGTCTTTGCGTAACCGTTGCACACAATATGTACAGCGCTGAAGCTGGACTGCGGAGCCTCAGTCTCCTCCGTGTCTTCTCCCGAAGCGCACTCGCTAAATTAAAGCTGAGGTACCTAATTTTCCTTTCGACCATCAGTTCATGTTAGTTGTGCCAAAAAAAGTAATGGTGTGAGCAAATCAAACAGATTTAACAAACAGTAGTTTTGGTCTGAGTCTAAACAGAAAGACAAAATGTTAATAATGTTAATTCCATTTTATATGGATTTATTGCTATAACAAACAAATACAGTGCATATGTTCACTAAGCTGTCATTTATCTTTCCATTCAAACAACAATTTACAGAAAAATATGGCCTAATTTTGCCGATAGTTTGAAATGCGATTAATTACGATTAATTAATTTTTAAGCTGTAATTAACTCGATTAAAAAAAAAAAATCGTTTTTTTCCACGAAAGGACAAAAATCAGAATCAGAATCAGAATCATTTATATTTCTCTTAAGTAACAAACAAAAGTTACCACTTGGACTTCATGCACTTGTACAGGCCACCTCTGCTGAGGGTCAAAAAGGGGTTGACTGAAACAAATTATTCCAAGCCACCAAAATCTATTCAATTGGCGATTCACTTATCTTCACTCTTTTTAATGTACTGTAATTATTTGTAGTTTGTAGGTCTGTATGTTTATTTTCTTGTTTTGTGAAGCTTTTTGAGTTGCCTTGTGTATGAACTGTGCAATAAGAATATGTTGTATCTATATCTAATGATCTCCATGTTTCCACTCTAACAATAACCAAAAGAAAAATGCATGCATGTACTGCTGATTTGAAATAAAACCCACCCATTGTTACTTCCAACAACAAGGTCCGGCCCATTCTTGAAGGCTTGTTGTAAATCTGTTGCAGATGTCACAGCACTTACTAATTCAAACCACAGAGTCCAATGTTGGCCTTTGTTTTTACATAGGACTATATAATCAAATCAGCTAATAATACTTATAGTTGTTTTGATGTTGTGGCTCGCTCCAGATGGTCGAAAGGACACAGGAAGCAGAACATTCAGAGAGTTATTTGTAGCTCATTATTGCTTCATTATGGCCTCTCTACTGCACCCCGGAGGACAATGAAAGATTCACACGCCTTTGCCATGTGTTAGAATTTAATCAGCCAGGTCTAGACTTTTGCTGTTCAACAGGAAGTTGCAGGGACAGAGCTGGCCACAAGCGTCCGTAACCATAAACAGGCAAAGGACAGTGCTATTGGTTCCATCTCTCATTGTACACAATATTGTTCTCTCGTCATGAGCCTATATACGTGTAGGTCTATCCGTGTAGGTCTATCAAATTATATTACTTTTTGTGGCAATGGTGCATTTTTTTGTGACCTGACCAAATAACATGCTCCTTTATCTAATTTAGTTTTTTTTTGGTTTGAAAGTTACGTACCCAAGCTTTAAGGTTTACGACCCAGCTGGCAAATTTTGGTCCAGTGAATCATGAGCATTTCATCTATTTGTGCTTATGTTGTTGACGTGGTTTGAACAAATGACCTTTAAATAATAGAAGTGCACCCTCTACACTGAGACAACAATACAGATATCACATGATGGTTCCTTTCCATAATATAGTTTACTATTTACACTGCAATAAACACGAATACTGTAGTAGCCTGTATGCTGCAATGTGGGTTACATTTTGAATCATGAGATTTTGTATTTTCTGTGAATCATAGACATGTTTGGATTGGATTAAGTGTGAAAGTATTGAGACATAACACAGTGGTCTGTCCAGGCTCCAGAGCAGAGCTACACCTCGTTCTCACTGAACATTGGGACATTTTCATCAGGTTCAAACCAGAATTGCAGATGTGAAAACACTGGACAAAACAGCCACACATTTCACAAGTCTAGAAAAGACTCCAATGTGGCTTGTTTTCATTCAGAAAAAAAGTTAATTTCTTAAAACTTATTCAAACAATAAACAACATTTGTATTTCAGCCTGCTACTACAAGGAGCCTGTAAAGTTAAACAGTGCAAATGAAAAAACAAAAATCATGGGACATTTCATGAACGCTTTTGACTTTTGCACAAGAAGTCGGCCATTGTGGTTGCCAACTATTTAACAGCCTGTTGCAAATACTGTAAAAACAAAACAAAAAGGCAAAATGGGAAATTTGCCCACAACACAATTGTTGGTCCATGTCCTTTGATATTTCAAAAATGCAAAATCTCACACAATGATGCTCCCTGTAAATGTAATGCTTGACCTTCCAACAGACTTTTTAGTGTCTCTATGCTGGGTGTTATGTTTCACCTAGCACATTGAGTTTCAAGTTTATAAAATGTGAGAACAAATTTCAATTTTTTTTTACTTCACTGTCCATGAAGATTCCACTTTCACTGCTGCCCACATGCCTTTATTGTTTTGTAAAGAATAAGTTAGAAGAGGTTTTCCCATCCCACTGCGGAAAAAAGGTTTAATCTCAGCTTTAGATACATTTTTCTGGGGCTTTTAAATAGACCCAATTCTTGCGATATTAGGGTACAGTTTGCAGAAGTGTTATACCCACTGCTCCAAATTGCAGTTGTTGCATACATTTTCCTCAACTTCCCCAGTTCCAAATAAATAAACCTTGAACATGAAATATGGAATATACGTAGTACTGAGAGAAAAATGCATTCCACTGTGAGCCAAATAGATTCCAAAGTTCCATAGTGTTCCATGTGCAAAGCCAACATGCTAATTCTTAATATTGTAAAGCCAATACTGTAATTATATCTAAATCTAGTAAAAATCATCATTGCCTTCCACCTCTGCCAGGTTGCAGGGTGAGCAGTCTGAGTTCCTGAGAGGGCCTCCTCCTAGTCGGACATGCTGAACTGATGCCTGAGCGACCTAAATAAATACCAACGTAACTAAGCTCACATGTAAACGATATTACTTTGGTAAAAATGTATTGTTTACCAAAGTAACTAAGCTCACAAGAGTTTAACGATCGAGGCGAGCGCAGGAGGTGGGAGAGGTTGACCTTGTACATAGAGCCAGCCTTCAAACAGCAGCAGGTTACGTTTGCTCTCGACAATCGCTGGTTTTAGGCCTGACTTGTGATTGCAGGCGATTGATTGTCACTTTTTGTGCACAGTTGACGCACCATCTTACACTAACTGCATCGACTTTTTTCTTGTTAGATACAAATCCAATATTTTGAACCATCGTTTACTTCCATTTCCTGCCCATTCGTCTTTCTATCAAATGGGCTGTTTCTTCTTGACGGAACCATTACCCAGCTGTCCTTGGTCTTTGCAGATCCATCTACACTAAGAGGCTTGACACGAGCGCACAGCCCAGTGAAGGTGACGGGGATATGGATGAGTCGAGGAGGCAAGAGGTGGCAAGGCTGGTCCACTCCGTCACAGAAGACAACGCTGACAGGCTTCTCCTTTAGAACCAGAGACAGACCTTGGAAAGCAACGCAAGGTTAAGCCCAAGGATATCTAGATTACATGCTAAGGTGGGTGTATACAGCGGTAAGGTATTAGCTTGCGTCAAGTAAGGCAGAGGTATACAAACAAGTGACTATGCCAATTTCTCAAGCCGCAGCCTGACCAGAAATGTGTTGTTTACGTTCACTTGCATTGGTTTTTGGACTTTTGACTGTACAGTTATAGGTATTCCGTCTCACTAAGTCTAATTCACAGTTTTGTATTAGCGTGTATACCTGTGCTATGACATTGTACAGTTAAACATGACAGTTATGCTCTCTTTTTACGTATAATTTTTTTGTCATTTTTTAACCCTTTAAGGATCACCTAATTTCGCCTGCTCCTTCTCGAATTATGATACTCAAATGGAAATGCTTATTGTGTGGACATCTTGTGTCTGATTTTGTGTTATGATGCCTAATTTGAAAGGTAACACCTTCTAGTTTCTGAAAATGTATGTTACAGTTTGTTAGGAAGGACACAGTCTGCACTACAGCTTCTCAAACATGAGTCAAAGTTAGTTTTTTTTGTCTCGAAAAAAAAAAGGCAATTTCAAAAGGTTCTCCTGAAGACATACTTTATGGTATGATGTTCAAACTCACCAGAGCAGATGTTTGTGGTGTTGGAAACACCTGTATGAAATTTTAGACCTTTAGGTGGAACTATTTTGATTCTGGGGGCTTTTTTGTAACTAATGGGCACATTCGGCACAAGTGGTCCATTTTTGTGCCAACTGTGCAAAAGTGTTTTACATGCAAATTATCAATGTTTTTACACCAAAAATCCATTTATATAATTTTTTGGCTATTACTCTTGCTATAAATAGCATTTTTCCTGATATTGAAATGTTTGCAGAAAAGCTGATATTTATATAGTTATAGCGCGTGTTCTCCGTGAAAGAGGCTCCGTCTTCCTCTTTACGCATTCAAATATGACGGGAACAGTGGGAGGAAGCTAGAAGTCCGACACATCGCCTGAAACCTGAGATTATTGGCTACAAGATGATTTGATTGACATCCAAATCGGCCAATGGTAGTCAAGACAATGCTGTCATGACGCACAGATATCTATGTGATTGGAGCGCTAAATCTAGGTGCGCTTGTTTTACTCAACTTACTCTTCCCCTTCCAAACCATAGCACTGAAAAGTCCGGGAATGGGCTTGTTTTGAAGGGAAGACTGAGAGGAAGACGAACATACCCGGTGACGCTAGCTAAACAGTAAAATGTCCTCTTCATACAGTGCGCAAAGAACAGGTTTTGTTTTTGTTTGTGCAACTTTCAATCCTCAAATATGTTGTTACAAGTGGATATCTACTATAAGGATGACTTTGAAGAAAAAACAACTGGATATAATTATTCTCTAGACCGTAACGAACAAAAAAAATGCACACATGTGTGGATTAGACGTGATTTGCCCCAGAATATTAGCATGACAAGGTAAGAAACGACAATATATATTTTAAACATATATACAGTTTGACTCCTTATTCTTACTTTTGGTTATATTTAATGTTTATTTGAACATAATACGTGTATAGAGGTGGGAATAAGCTTTCAAAAGAGATATAGCTTGACTATATTGACACAAGTGAATTCTAATACTGATGCTGTTAAATGAAAAATAACTGAATCCTCCCTGTACAGGGAGGGTGATCCTTAAGAGGTATATTTTTATCTTTTAAATCCTATAATTGAATGATTTCAAGCAAGGGACCAATGCGCAATTTCCTTTGGGATCAAAAAAGTATCTATCTCTATCTATCTGTCTAAAAACAGTTGAAATGAACAGTTTAATTTTACATACAGTATAGAGAAGGCATGGGAAAGGCAAGACTAATGCATATCTTACTTCGAGTTGGTACCATCCTTGTTGAGTGAAATCTTATCACCATATTTATTGCTGTCTGTTTTTTTAGTACAACAGAATCCCTAAAATATATCTTGTTCTTTTCTTTTCCCTTTTCTCTCCGCTCAGCTGATGTAATTGAAGTGGGCAGCCTGGGGACTGGCTGATCTTCTCTCTCCTCTCTGGTTCTCTCAGACATCTCCTGCCCCTGGTTTTTACTCAGCTCGGAGGCGATCGAGCTGTCCGCGAGTGACGGGCCTAATGGAACACCCAACTGGTTACTGACTTCAGTGAGCCAACCCTGAATTATTCAAACTCCACCACGTACTGTGTCTCTCTCTCTCTCCTTCTCTCTCCCAAATTATTTAAAAGTCGGCTCTCGACGCTTGGACCCAGAAGCAAAAGGTACCATTAATCTCAACACAAGCCCCTGGTGTAAGATGTGAGACTGATAACCACAGAACCTGATAGGTCAGTTAAAGCTCAGGTTTACCACTTTTATTGCTGTCAACAAATTAGAACATGTTTTAACTATTGCTCGCTTCTAAAAAATAGCTGTTTTAGTCACTATTTGACAAATTGGGCTGATCAAGAGTAATTCATTATTCGATTTCACAGTGATTTATGCCTGTTCGGGTATCTATGTTTCTCCATTGAAAGTAAATAACATAATTGCATTGACATAAAAAAATAATAATATAATAAATACAAATAATGATAACTTATTTTCTAATGTAAAAATATAACAGAAGAAAATAAGACTACAGATGATTTGCATAACCACACAAAAGAAGATATGTACTTGTTTTTTGGCTAAATACATATAATACACATACAAATAATTGTATCATTTACAGAATCTGCAATTGAGCCATCATTCGTGATTGGACCACATGCATGATATTTAAGCATTAGACAAGATGTCGCATGGTTAGGAGGAAAATACACAATGCTGGAGAGGAAAAGTACCAGAGATGCCGGAGGGTGCATCTGAACCAAACTGAATTTTATGTATATTTTATCTTATCAATTTATTTTCCATTTGCAGTGAAAATCCACATTGGAATATTTATTCAGAATTCAACTAGAAAGAAATGCAGCACACAAAGCGTCTTTAAGTGTCCCAAAGAACAATGAGTGCAATGTATTATTATTGACACATAGTTGTCTCTACACTGTAAAAAATACAACTCAAAATTGTTCACCTTACTAAGATTTTTGCATTCACTGACAATAAAATTGCCAGTTGGAACTGCAACTGTCTGCTGTGAGCCACTTGAACTCACTTTCTGAAGTTTCTGATGAAAAGTTCATCTTATTTGATATATTAAGTTGATTTGACTTTGAAGTTGTAGTGAACTTCTGAAAGTTCAAGTGGCTCACAACAGACAGTTCCAGTTCCAACTGGAAATTTTATTGTCAGTGAATGCAAAAATCTGAGTAAGGTGAACAATTTTGAGTTGTCGTTTTTACAGTTCACCGAGCTATAGTGAGGTCAACTTATCTGCGTTTGCTCATTTAAATATGTGTTATGGCAACCAGCTGCATTCAACATTTTGAACAAACTAATTTGACCAAAAATCAATGTATTTATTTTTACCAACCGTAATCGACAGGGCCAAGCCAAAGTAGCCCTGTATATTCTCTGGGTCAGTCTTAGAAACATTAAGTTTCCCCTCTGGTTCACAGTGTGTGTGGCACGGTGGCTGAGTGGATAGCACTCTCGCTTCTTGACACGAAGGTCCTGGGTTCGAATCCCGGTCGGAACAGGGCCTTTCTGTGTGGAATTTGCATGCTCTCTGTGTCTGCATAGGTTTCCTCCGGGTGCTCCGGTTTCCCCTACCCAAGTGACCTTGGTCCATGAAATGCGCTATATAAATAAACATCGTGATCTTTTAATGTGGGGGCTAATTTAAACTCAAAATAGTAAGTTATTGTAGGGGACAGTAATCTGAACTTAAAAAAGTAAGTTTTTACAGACTTGAAATTTCCAGTAACTTGAATTTAAACACTTAGTTGGCAGAACTTGGAAAACTTAACTGACACAACTTAATAAGTGTAGTTCTTCAAAACTTGAAGAATTAAGTTAATGCCTTCAACTCAAAAATCCTTCGCAGCTGGTTGCTTTGAAATTTTGAGTTGAACTAACTTTTTCTTTTTTACAGTGTACTAATACTAATAATAATAATCCATCTGAGAGTGAAGCCCTTTTTCAATAAACTGGCGATGTCAGCAAGTGGATGAGGGGAAACTATTATAAAACTAAATCTATCATTATTGGTCTTTTCTTTATACAAAATATTTTCTCATTTTTAGTTTTTTCTGGTTTTGAGCTTTGTGGGTGAGCTTGGTGTGATCATAAACCCAGAATTAAATGGAAACAATAAATCAATCATGTAATAAAATGGTCCTTTTTCACTCAGAAAGTAATAATGTAAAATATTTGTACGTATTCTTTTCACATCTTCCTTTAAAATTAATTCAGCACCTTCCAAAAACATTTTCATAGATCTCACATTACACCTGTCTATAAAAGATCTCCACTGACTCCGGATTTCAGTTACGGATTTATAATAATCTACTTGTTTATGAAATCCCTCAACAATCTGGCATCCTCATAAGTCTTTCCCTGGGTCCCATGGTGCCTGAGTGGTTATCCCTCTCGTTTAACAGCAAAAGTTCCTGGGTTTGAATCCACCTTGAGACAGGGCCTCTTTCTCTGTTTGTGGAGATTTCGTCCAAATGCTTTCTTGGTATATAAATACAAGGTCTTGCTGTTGTCCCTCCAGTGAAGCTGAACATTGAGCAAGAGCAGTAGCTAAAGATAGATAGTAGATCCCTGTAAAAGAAATTCAGGTGTCCTGTTGCAGCAGAGCAAATAAATAGATCATTCTAAAAATAGCTTCATTCATTAATTTTCAACCCCATTATTATTATGTCGATCAGTTTTTCTTCACCCTTTTCCTCCAGCCTTCTTTATGTAGATGTTGTGTTATTGCTTTGCCTGCAATGCTCCCTCCTATAGCGGTAGCTTAACTGAATACATATTTTTATGGACAAAGAGCACCTTGAAAAGCACGGTTATACTCTGAAGCAAGATCACGTCTCCATTGTATCAGCTCGTTACCATGGAGATACCTGCCTGCGTAAACTCTAAAAGGCTATGACAATATAATGCCAACATTTTTCTTGGCTTGACAGACTTCGATATTTACTCCTGTGAGGTTGGACTGATAAAAGCCTCTCATTATTGCTGCTGTACTCCACTCGCCGTAGACCCAGTGACAGCCTTTAATACCTGCTCTCACCCTCCAGCCTCAGTCCTGATCGTACAGAGTAAAAACAGATGAGAACACTTTCAACAGCGCTCACTCCGGTACAGTCATATGTAACTATCAGAACAGGCATAATTAGTATAAAGTACAAAGGCTTCTTTTATGATGAGGGTACAATTTCTGGTCTTGCGGGAGAATGTTTCAGTCAAAATTGCGGTATGACGTTAAACTAGCTTCTGTTTCCCATACGGCCTCAGTGAGTGTGTTCACAAAGAACTAGTGAAAACCAAGCTCAGTTCAAATTAATTGTGTTGAGCAAGCTAAAAACCAGTCCGTTTGGCTTAACTGGATCGAACCACTTCTACTCAGTTTGGTGTGTGACCATGTAAAGCAGATACTACGGAGACAAGGCCAGCAGATGCATTTAAAAGCACAGGGAAGAGCCATGCTTATAACAAGAGATGTATGTAGTCTTTCAGGAGTCACTTATAGATACTTCAAGATGATTTTTTAGGACCAGAGTATTATTTTTTTTATTTTTTTTGGTACCTGACAGTTTAGACCGAGATGCTGAGGTGTAGTGTTCCTCAAAAGTCGGACTGTAGATGGCGCTGTCTTCACACCACCAGAGGCAGGACGACAGCGCCATCTGCCGCCAAAAACTGATTAAAACCGCTGACAAGAAATCAGTCAACAAAAGCTTTTCAAATGTAGAAATGAATATATTTGGACACATATAGGTCACTCACGCATTATGATCAAAATAAACAACTTTGTTTTGTGAGGCAAGGAAACATGCGTCATTGCGTCTAGTTGTGCAGCGGAAATCAATGCTGGGTAATCTGACTAAACCACAACAAAAAAACTATGTAACGAATTCCATCAAACTAGTTTCAAGCTCTAAAAAAGTTTGACTCTAGACAAAAAACAAGAGGACCACCACAGCCAATCATCTATCACAGTGTTTTTCAACCACTGTGCCGCGGCACACTAGTGTGCCGTATGATATTGTCTGGTGTGCCGTGAGAAATTCGTCTACTTTGTCTAAAAATAGCTGCATTCGCTGTTGACGAGCGGTGACTTGTTTTGAACTGTGAGTAACCATGTAATACTTTTTCAAATCAGTAGATGGCAGCAGATAGCTAAGTACTTTGAAACTGAAAAATTGGATGCGACCACTGGCTGTAACAGGTCAGCATTGTGGCGAGAAAGGTAAAATTGGATGCGACCAACAAATGTGGGAGGGAGCGAGACAAGAGCTTTGTGGCGAGTGAGAAGTAAAAGTGATGGAGACGTTTTTGAAAATGAATTATGCCGTTTCTGAACAGGATTAACATCCTCCGCTCTGCCCCGGGGCAGCTGTGGCCGCGTTGTAGTGGTTTAACTATGAAATGTACGATTTTTGTACAACAGCTCTCGCGAACGCACTTCTGAACTGGGTACCGAGCGCAGACCGTAGTCGAGTGGACAGAACCATAGACATGCGGACCGGACAGAACCATGGACTCGCGTTCAGGACCTCCCGTGTCCCTCATCCAAAACTCCTGAATTTAAAGCTCGGATACCAAAATGTTTCCCATGCACTAACAATGCATGTTCTTTGTGTGAGTTATTATTTGACTATTTGGGCAGAGAGTGGATTTTCTTAGTTTTTTTCCACACAGTTAGTGCCACTTTATTCCCAAACTCTTGTTAATTGTATCGAGAAATATTAAATAAAGCATAATTTCAAGGCCTGGACTTA